TTCAGTGATGTAATATAGTTGATTTACAAAATTCCCTCCAAATACGTAGTTCTATCAACACATTATTATTTTATCTAAAGCCGCGTAGTTCCTTTTCGTTTTCATAATTTTTATGCTGTGGAAATATACTTGAAATCCATGTCTGACATCATGCTGTTTCCCCAAAGCCAAGTAGAATGTGGTGTTCACACTGCAGGAAATCCGGGACTCCAGTAATTAGTAATTTCTTTCTAAAACATGAAGTATAGAGTCTGTGGACTCGCTTATAGTCACATTCGAGATGTGACAACAGTTCCTCATTTAGTTCCAACAATATATCATACGGATTCCAGTACTAACAACTGTACACAAACATTATATTATGTAAGATTTGAGGCTTTCACGGCGGTGACTATGACGAAAGCAGTCTTCTGGGATTTGGCACCGTGTATATGTAGTGTTAACCACATGTGGTTAACACCACATATACACGGTGACAAATCCCAGAAGATTGCAAAGTTAATAGAGAGTCCGTCGAGTGTAACAATTTGTAGGTCACTTTTTATTATTATTTCTGCCTTACTTGTTTCGGTTTGACACAACCATCATCAGAGGCACTTGCTATAATTATGGAAACACTGTCGTTGTTTTTTGATGTTGACAATTATGTTTGTCGTGTGGACGCTGCTACGATATGTTGACGTGTAAAAGCACAAAACATGCTAAGATAGTTGAGTACACTCTCAAGTTCTCACTTTTCATCCGAACCTATTTTTAAGTTATTAGTTATTAGTTTAAGTTATTAGTATATTGATTTACCAATCTAGCTTGACAAGCATCTACTATTTTGAATTGTTTCATTTTGGTCCGTTACACTATCAATCACAAAGTTAATAGAGAGTCCGTCGAGTGTAACAATTTGTAGGTCACTTTACTAATACAAAAAGGAAACTCCTGAGAATTAACGCTCNTTACACGTCAACATATCGTAGCAGCGTCCACACGACAAACATAATTGTGAACATCAAAAACAGCGACAGTGTTTCCATAATTATAGCAAGTGCCTCTGATGATGGTTGTGTCAAACCGAAACATGTAAGGCAGAAATAATAATAAAAAGTGACCTACAAATTGTTACGCTCGACGGACTCTCTATTAACTTTGTGACTGATAGTGAACGGACCAAAATGAAACAATTTAAAATACCAGAAGATTGCTTTCTTCATGTATGTATTACCGTTTTTGTTATTTAATGCTAGTTCGGTGGGACTAAGTCCCTTGTACTGAGGCCACTTCTGGCTTATTGTACCCGCCCAAGATGATAGGTGAGGGTGATTGTGGAGCAATTGGTGGAATGAAGATTGGCAGGAGAAACGGAAGTACTCGGAGAAAACCTGCCCCAGCGCCACTTTTTTTTCCTTGGCACTACAGACCCAGTGGGCCTAGGCCTACCTCCATGGACTTCTCCGTTCACTTCGATTTTTCTAGATCTTACACATTCGGTAGGACTCCTTGGGCGGGTGATCAGTTCGTCGCAAGGCCTCTACCTGTACACAAACACAGAAAAACGCACACACACAAACTAAACATCCATGCCCTGGGTGGGATTCGAACCCACGATCCCGGTTTCCAAGCGAGCGAAGACAGTACATGCCTTAGACCGCTCGGCTACCGTGACCGGCCCAGCGCCACCACAAATCCCACTTGACCAGACCCGGGATCGAACCCGGGCCGCCGCGTTTGGAAGCCAGAGACTAACCGCTAATGGCGCGACCCATAATGTATTACCTTGCTTCGCTTATAGTAGCTACACTATATAGCTCCAAATGACAGTATGGTTGATGAATGGTAAATTTAAAGGATTTGGAAGGAATCGGACATGGCCTAATCGAGGTACTACCCCAGAAATTGGCTGGAGGGACTAAGGAGAATCACGAAATCAGTCAGTCAGAATTTCCGGTGTTCCAGCCGCTCTTCGAAATGAACACTTCCGGAATACGTGTCAAGAGCGGTGCTGTTACGTTAGCTTGTAGTTCCAAGAAATATACTATCATATAGATTAAAAGAATTTTACATTGCTTTACAATTTATTTATAACGATATGTATTTATTTATTCGTCTATGGTTTCTTAAATAATTTTACTTAATAAAGAACTATTCGTTTGTAAATGAACTAGAACTTGCTCCAACAGCATAATTACTTATGAATAAATGTAATAAGTATCTAGGCCTATTATTCATATCAAATTAACTCAAGAACCATTTGGAATATAAGAAATAAACACGAATTTTTCTTGATAAATCTCAATAGAAAAGGATAATATTTCTTGACTAGCCAAATAACTCCAAAAAGAATATTATGGTGCTCTTTTAAATTTGTTTTTTAAAGACGCTGTCAATATCGGGACTAAATAACGTCGATGACAGGATGGTTAACGAGTATGGAGCAGTTGGTGGTTTAATAAATGATGAACTAGTTAGCCATGGAAGTCAACATGTTTCAATTTCGTTCGTCCCTTACAGCGGCCATCTTTTTTACCTCTCCAGCGCAGCAGTTGTTTTATCTGTAAATATTGAGATTACATGCGCAAATATAGGAGGATGACGTGCTAGCCAGGAAGAAACGTTTGGAACTGCGCGATGCTGACGTCAGAGAGCTGCCTTTCCTTGTGCTGATCTGTTAGTGTTGTAGCGGGGGTCCAAAATGATTATAGGGCGATTAGTGACCACAAGAATTTCTCCAGTGGTGTTCAGGAACTTCCAGAAGAGAAATGCATACACCAGGAAGGCCAATGTCATAAGTGCGCCAGCGAGGAATAAGATTTCGAGATTGGTACGTACAATGCCACCCATTGGCATCTCTAATACGTGAAATCCTACTGGACATTGTGATCTGCACACGGCATTATTAGTTATGTCTGTTTAACGGGTTCGTTTGTGACCGAAAGTTGTACCTCTTTCCTATGGGACTACTAAACTTATATTCAAAATGACACAATGGTAAAGAATGAAACGTGCCCATCTATACAGTACACGCCTGGAGAACCACACCCGTAGGCCTATACCCGTGTGATGTTCTTTTATGGCCGCAGAGGCTGTCAGTCAATGCGCACTGTAACCGAAGTTTATTGTGAGCAAATTCATTAGTTAGTTCGTCTATATTTATCGCTGAATTACTCCCTCTCTTGTTTATAGTTTTCATTTTACCGGTTATTCGCAATGGATCTTTAAACAAATCAAACCAAATTCAAAACCGAACTTAGACGTGCTGCGTTGTGCACGGTCGGGGTTTGATTCCCGGCAGCGGAAGAGATTTTTCTCTACTCCACAGAACCCAGACTGATTCTTGAGCCCATCCAGCCTCCTATAATGTGGGTGCTGGGAAATTTTTCCCTAGGGGTAAAACGGCCGGGGCGTCTAGTGACGAAGTTAAGAATGATGGAGCAATATCTCCATTCATCCATATGTTTTCATGGCATAGTGCTTAACTAATTAAGCACAGAAACAACTTTTTCTTTCGCTTTAACTTAATTTAATTAGATAGCTCAGTCATTAAGTGACTGGCGAAGGTGTCGTTTTCGCGAGTTCGATTTCTCTCTTCGCCACGCGTAGAGTCAGATTCTGGGGGATGTACAGGACTGTAGTCGTGGCAGGGTGTTCCAGGATAATGCTGGAGCACAGCGCTTTAACTTGTTTTAAAGAAGGCGATGGCAAACATAGGCAGAGTTAATAAAATGAACGAAAAATTCCTGATTTTAGACTTTGACAGTGGTTAACCGATGATGTTAATTAAATTCTTTGTTTGTTACACCGTGTGGATGTGGGCGATGTTGCCGACGTTTCGAAGGCACGTGCTACCTCCATTTTCCGGGTAGCACTGTGAAAGGCATATGAGTTTATCCTCAAAACAACGCAGTATGGGAGATTAAGAACCAATTCGTATTTCCTTTTCCTTCTCATTTTTTTCAAAACAGGATCCTTTTCACACACAGAAACACAATTCACACACTTCAACCTTGAGGATGGTGGCAGAATGTACCTCAGAAATGATAGTAACATTGTCCACTTCCACCTGGTGCAACAACATAAGAACATAATTAACATCAACAATAAAGACTCTGTTCGCATTATTTATTTCTAAAAAAAAGTAAGGTAATTTAATTTAATTTCAGTGGATATAATATTATCTTCAGGAAAATAGTATAAATTGAAATATTAACGGCATTATTAACAAAGGTTTCAGGTCTGCGGACAATGAGAAAATAAGAATTTACAGCGTGTTTATTTTTCGATGTCCATGTTCGAAGATGAAGGTCAGACCCAAGAGGAACGTGAGCAGAGTAACGTACGATTCCGCGTATAGAAATGCAAGGCTCTTGTTGCGTAATGACGCGAATAGTTTCATTATCAGGACTGATAATCCCGTTACATCAGCAGTTCCAAATTTAATTTGGCCACAGAACCATTTCGCACTAGAAAAATATTTACGGAACCCCTCATAAAATTCTTACACGCGAATCTAAAAATAGACTACAGAGCAATAAGGATAATAAAAAACGTAAAAGAGGTACATTTATACATGTTATTTAATTTAACATATTTAAGAACAAAATCGCATTACATGCATACGAAATATGAACTTTAAAGACTAATATGCCACATATTTGCAACTGTCAGTACGAAGATCTTTTATAGCGGAATTCTCAAATCTGTCGCCACATTCAGATTTGTTTTGTTGCTGTCCCATCAGAAATTCGAATTGAGTACCTCCCCAGTACGAGTCTATAGCGTTGCCGCTAATCCAACCCGCTCGGTTTTCATATCTTATAAATAATTTATATCTGACAATATAAACCCCAACAAGTACCAACACCTTTAATTGCAATCCCCGCCATGGACAAGATCCAGAGCAATTTCCATCCACCAACAAACTTCAAAGTATATTCTTTCCGTTTTACACGTAGTTTCTTCGCTAAGTTCTGCTCGCATTTCTTGTCTGCCCAACCAGGCTGTATGTTTGGACCATCTTAATCTTCTGGATTTCACTATCACAGCAATACCGTGTGACCCGTATAGATCATAGACTGTCTTGTTACGTAATACACATAAACAGACCACTTCCTCTTTTTTCTGCCCATGTATATTCCAAAGGACTTGGTTTCCAAATAGTTTACATTATTATCCCTGATTAAAGACAAGCCTCGTACTCATACGAAACAAATGGTAGAATTAATATAACTAATCGACTTTTATTTTCTCTTCCTCTTTTTCAGGAGGCTTTCATCCATTCCGTTGTACTGTTTGGTGCCATCACCGCTTATCCTGCTTACGTCATGAGGACACTGAAAACTGGAAAATAAGCGCTCTGACATCCGTAGATATATACTGGAACAAACTGTATGTCCTTAATTACTTTGGGCTGTTTTGTGCGATATATCGAAATCTGATGTATTAGAATTATCTTTAAATATAATTATACCACATATAGAACAACAATGGTTTCGTTCGCTGATTCATTAAGCTGATGATGTTACATCGCTGACAAAAAAAAGTTCATCAACGTTTGAAAGTGTTCTTTATCTGTATAATGAGTTTTAAAATCGATATCAACTACATTAAGTATTAAAATTTAATGGGTGGTAGGCCTACTTACAGGACACTGTCACCTTAAAGGACACCTCCTGAAACTGTGACTATTTTTTTTAATGCTAGTGGAGTAGGACTAAGTCCCTTGTACTGCGGCCACATCTGGCCTATTGTACCAGCCCCAGATGATAGGTGAGGGTGACTGTGGAGCAATTGGTGGAGTGAAGATTGGCAGGGGAAACCGAAGTACTTGGAGAAAACCTGCCCCAGCGCCACTTTTTCCACCACAAATCCCACTTGACCAGACCCGGGATCGAGCCCGGGCCGCCGCGATAGGAAGCCAGCGACTAATCGCTTGAGCTATGGCGCGGCCAAACTGGGACTAAGTAACAGTCCAACTTGTGAGAGGTGTCAAGAAGAAAATGAAACAGCCACACATATCCTGTGTGAATATGAGGCCTTAGCTTTTTAAGAATACGTCACTTGGGTCAATATTTTATGGAATCAAGTGACTATTTCGACGTCCCCACGTACAAAATCCTGCGCTTCGATTGAAGGAGGGATAATCAAAAGGGGAAGTACAATAGATCACCGTGGTCGTGGTGCAAGGGCCAAGAGGGCCCACCCCTTGTACATTCATTCATTCATTCATTAAAATTTAAACGAATAACAATGGGATTTCCTAAAAATTACACATAATCGATTTAATTCTTCGGTTTCCAGACCATCGTTTATACTACGTAAAACGACGTGTACCGTGTGGAAAATTGCTTGTTTACAGTTTCAATATTGTAGCATTCTTCCTCCTCCTTCTCTTCTTCTTCTCCTTATTGTTCGATTATACTAGAAAGCGTCTCCAACATATCTTTTCATCTACTTCCTGGAGCTCTAATCACCTTCTTTCATAAAGCTTGTATTTGGCTGTTAATTCCGTAATTCCATTGTCTTCTATACTTCCTATATGTGAATACCATTTCTCTGTTTGTTCTTCCACAATATAATTTAAATTTTTAACATATATATGGTTTTGTAATTCTGTAATTCAGCATCCTGTTGCGTATCTTTACATAAACGTCCATGTATTCACAGTCCGTCAATACTGCAACAATTGTTTATTCACCATATAACACTTAACACAACATATTTCGGCCATAGATGGCCATCTTCACGTGTCTCAATGCATCAAAACTGTTACACTGTTCTGCTGTGCGCACAGCAGAACAGTGTAACAGTTTTGATGCATTGAGACACGTGAAGATGGCCATCTATGGCCGAAATATGTTGTGTTAAGTGTTATATGGTGAATAAACAATTGTTGCAGTATTGACGGACTGTGAATACATAGACGTTCAATTTATATGATTTTAGTTTAATAATTTCTTATCAGACATCTCTAATTCAACAACTGCTTCCCAGAATTTTTATTTCTCCTGTTTCTAATCTCCTTTCGTGTTCTCATCTTGGTACTCAAGTGTAGCATCAGTAATGGAGTAAAATGCAAGCTAAATATTGACATTTGTGTGTCTGGATATCATCAACTTACTGAATTGGAGATCGAATTGAAATTATTGCTCTGCCAATTTTATTGACATAATTGTTCTAGCACTCGTTATATGTTTGGTTTGAAGTTGACTGATGAAGAAGAGTGTAAACTTAGTAATCTGAGATAAAATGAATTGATCGATCCCGAATAAGACCGCACCATATTACAAGGGAAAAGTTTTGCGGTCTACGTTTGGCCCGCAGGCCCCGGGGTGTCCACGCCTGGATTAGATGTTTAGTTATTAAATAATTTAATGGCTCTCTACGTATTTAGGTTACTGGGCCTTGAATTCGACGAGAGGATCAACTGAAGAATGTGTGTGTTATATTTGCTATGCTGTAGGAAAAAAAAAAGTAAAGCTTTCCTTGTAGCAGGCCATGGAGGCCCATAGGGTTGTGAGACGTTGAGGGTCCCACATTATCCAGACAATCGGCTCAAAGATGGCGGTAAGGTTGTCAGCCTTACGCGCCGGCCGCCCTTTACTCCCCAAGAAAATTATTTAATTAATTCCTGGTACTCATTTCTGTTAGAGGCTGAGTCGAGCCCAGGGCCTAGTGCGGCTGGAAGGATTAGGTCAATTGAAAAAATCCAATGAACTCATCGGGACTTGAACCCGCGACCTTCCGGCTTGTAGCATAGTCCCTCACCAAATCAGGAATGAGCCCCCAATTTCGAATTTTAAGTATCCAGTACTTTGCATTCAGGTTAAAATCTGGATAATTTGTTTTGCGATTACAGTTATTTGCTATATGTAAGCCTACGAGAAATTAAAAAATGACAAAACTTCTTTGTTATATCGTTTAATATTCATATTTCGTTCCAGGCCGTATTTATCTATCTCTGGCACAAAGACTTAGGTTTGGAAGAAAACGGGTTTTTTTATATTCCCTTTTTATTCTATTATTTTACGATCGAATGCCGGAGTCGAAATAAATATGATAACATATTTATGAAAATCAGAGCATAGAAAGTGATTCGAGTCACCAGTCTGAATGCAATAGCTGTAGTTGCAGCTGACGCATCAGTTTTCAGGATATTCTTGCTGTAAGTGTCTGCATGATACTCATTACCCAAATAGTGTCAGTTTGGTTTTATTCTACACTAACAGACTGGCAAGAGAAAATGAAGAAAACAGATGGGTGACTACAGCCATTTTGTCTCTAAAGTAAATTTTGAGTTATGTCATCAAATGTTCAGCTTTCAAGAAATAGCTTTGCAGTCTGCCTTGGTGTTCGTCAGTACAAAGTATTGGTGTGATTCCTGCATGAAAACCTGGACAACTTCTCAGCTTTTAGCAGGGTAGGATTTAGGGACGAGCCACCGGGGCGTTACCCACAGATTTTACTGAAACATTTGTCTTTCTAAATGGCTAAACATAGTTTGTATTCTTACTTATTTAAGAAATAAGAACAAAAAAAAATGTTATAACCTAATTTGCCACTGATGGGGGCCTCCTCGTTTTGATTTTTCCGGGACCCTCACAGATGCAAATCCGGCCCTGACCATGCACCGTCCCTTCCCGGGCCTGAATGTAATGTAGTTACCTATTTATTGCAGCAGCTACAGTCGTGATTTTCAGTTTCTTTGTTATTGTAACAGTAAGTCACATGATCAGGATAAAGACAACCGTAGCCTTTACCAGTAAGTGGGATTATCAGAATAAAGGGTCTACTCTTTCCCGTCTCATAAGCAAAAATATTTATTTTATTTTATTTATTCATGGTTTTTAAAGACGCTGCTTTTATCCGAGATCGTAGCGTCAAATGAGAGGATTACTGGAAGGGATTTACGAGGAAGCGACCGTGGCCTGAGTTGAGGTACTGCCCCGGTATTTGGAGGAGGGACTGAAGAAAGTTGTGAGAAATATCAGTCAGATTAGCCGGTGACTCTGATGAGGTTTGAACCCCTGACTTTCCGAAAGCAAAGGAGTCATGCAAACCCGACTGCGACATTCGGTGTTGTTCTCAGTGAAGTACAGTTTTGTTTTGTGCTTCATTCTTCTTCAGTACTTTCATATTCTTCTGTGTTCTTTAATACTTTCGTATTATCCTGTATTCTTCAACGTTTCTGGGTACCTCGTATGGAAGAAACACTGAGGATTCTCGGTCCGCCACATTGACGAAAACCTCGATACATTTCCGTTTCTTATTCTTTATGTCATCCTAATTTTTGGCACATTAAGGAGCCGGGATAGCTCAGTCGGTATAGGGACTAGGGTGTGGGTTGGACAACCTAGGAATCGCCATTCGATTCCCAGCAAGAGCAAGAATTTCTCTCTTCTCCACAGCGTCCAGGCCGACTTTGGGGCCCACCCATTCAAACGTAAAATATACAGTTTTCTCCGCGCTTCAATAAGCACCACGACATGAAAACATATGGAGGTGGAGATGTAGCTCCACACATTCTTAACCTCAGCATTAGATGGAGGTGAGTGGTCAAATTCACATCCTGACCGCATTGCCCCCAAAGAAGGAGACCCTGGTACCCACTGAGTAGGAGACGGTGTGGGCCCCAGAGCTTGTGTCAATGCTCTGGAGAAGAGAAAGATTCCTTGCCCCTGCCGGGAATCGAACCCGATTTCTCGGCCATCTAGCCCGTAACCAGTCGATATACAAACTGAACTTCCCATATCCTCATACCCATTATTTTCATCAGATAAAGCTCTCGGTACGTGAAGCTGACCACTCATCTCCATCTGTTACCGACATTAATAATGCGCGGAGCTGTACCTCCATTTCACAACACAGTCTGCCATTATGGCGTGCTCGACAATATTATGTATAAATAATAATTTTAAAACGCTCATTACACATGTCTGGCTTCTGAAGCCGGGTTGTGTTAACTACTGGTTACTTTAAAGACAATTCTACTTTAAACAACAAAGCAATATAAAATTAATACTAACAGTTTAAATGTTGCAATATGTATTAAGTATATATTTAGTATTAAGTGCAGTTACGTTAGATTCATAGACTTCACAGTACGCACAGGCAGCTGTGACATCTAGTATTTCTCCCCTACTCTGTGATCCTAGTTTCAATTTTTTATAGACCTAGTCTAATTTTATATCAAGCCTGCCATTGTTTAGGAGGAGTTGAAAGTGCTGCTAGGTCATTACAATCGCTACACAAATCGTTAAAATGTTTATGGTTCAGTCGTTTGTAAGAGTAGCCTCGCCAGCTTGCAGAAACATTACACAAGTCAGAGGAGTTACCAGAAGAGCGAGCGTTGTGTCGGGACGTTCCAAAGTGCATATACCATTTGCGGTATGTAGTTTTTAAATTCACCTCTTTAAGAATATAGTTTTTTTGTGAAGCATACCGGGAACGTGTGTTGTGCCGTTCACTAAAATATATGCAGTGTGTTCTGTATAGGTACTTAATGATATGTTAAGATTATTTTCAGTGTTAAAAAAAAATGCTTTCTGGTGAGGTGAGTTCTTTTGGAGGATGTCGAAGAAGATATTCACAGTAGTAATTTTGAATGACCCATTTATATTAAAGAACTTGAAGAAAGCAGTCTTCTGGGATTTGGCGCCGTGTATATGTGGTGTTAACCGACGTTTCGGAGGAACGTATCGCCCCCAACTTCAGGGTTGAAGAAAAAGTATAAGTAAATCTGCAAGCGACAACACCGTGATACACGGTTACCGTTCCTCCGAAACGTCGGTTAACACCACATATACACGGCGCCAAATCCCAGAAGACTGCTTTCTTCATAGTCACCGCCGTGAAAGCCTCAAATCTTACATTAAAGAACTTTGTTTCTGATTGATACACTTCTTTTAAATTTATGTCATTAAGTTGAGAGCAACTTTTCAAATATATTCGCTTATGAGAACTACAGAGTCGCCGGTTAAAGAACAGCAAGTTTATTCTTTTATAAATATTTTTATAAATGTATTTATAAAATGGGCTCAACCACTCGTGTTTGAAATTGATAATTAAAAAACCACAATAACATTAATCTCCTCTGTACTTTCAGTGTTAAAATACCTTATCGTGTGTTCATATAGTTGGTTTAAAATAATTTGGATACGAAAAATATTAAACTCTTTGAGTACAGTCACAAGTGGGGTAATTTAATGGCTTTGGGGTGGCGAATGAATGCTTAGTTCGTCGAGTAAAATTTGGTATAATTTTAAAGTGGCCTGTAGTGTTACTAAAAATAATTTTACATGTACGATCGTAGAGTACGATTCCCCATACGTCCCTAATTTCCGAACAGTCCCGATTTCAAATACAAAAACCGCAGGCTCGTTAAAGGTTTCTTGGATAGGGCGTCGACATGGGTTTCATTTTAAATTTTAATATTCAATCCAATTTGGTAAATATTAACTGGATTTAGAAACTTTTAACGTGAAAATGTCATTTATTAATTAGGAATACCTTTTACGTGGAACTATATACATTTGAGTATTTGAATGAGTATGCCAAGAACCCTGAGAGCTATACCAGCGGTAGCGTAGCTACTGGCAGGGCCTCCCTTATTGGACAGGTCAAATGGTAGGTATCAGACGAACAGAGACACCAAAAACTGATGCCGGAAGCAGCGTCATCAGTAGCGACTTGAAGCACAGAGCAAATGATGCTCGAGATGGTTCAAGTTCGTATAGCAACAGGCGTGACCAGAGTGGTTTGAACGGCTGTTGTACTGCGATGTGGAAAGCAAATGGAAAAAGCTACCATATTATCACTTTTCCTGGATAGTCTCTTTCCAAAAACAGAGATATCATGTATGCGAGATGTTTCCTCTGGAGACAAAACAAACCGGAGGGGCGATAGAAGTGACCAGAAGACGAGGAAGAAGACGTAAGAAGATGCTGGATGACCTTGGGGACAGAGGGGGATATTTTTAGTTGAAGGAGAAAGCTTGTAATAATCGCATTAAGTGGAGGAACTGTTTTGGAAGGGACTGTGGACCTGTCGTTTGACAGATTACTGTTGAATGAATGAGCGAATATACGTTATGACATTAACAATATTACCCATGCTTTTTACTTCAGACTACTTTTACCTTAATATTACAAATGAAAAGTGATTCTTATTCAAGAGGCATAGGTTTCTATCATTCTATAATGGAGGCTGCCAGGATTCTTTCAAAGGGGGACAACAGTAAGGAACTTTTCTTTCAAACAACTGTTCAAAACATTTAAGACCATTTTTAATGATCGTCCTATAATATTAAGGGCAGGAGACTGGTTTAAAATAATAGTTTTTTGCTGTATTTCATTCATTTTGATATTCTTATTGTTAAAAAAATCGGGAGCGGGGTGCACCTGACTTGCTACCTTTCACTGCCGGAGGCCTTGATTATACAATTACGAGGAATCTCAATGCGATAGTTTTATCCAAATAAGCCATCCTGCTGCATTTGGTCTTCTATGCTGTATTAACATATGTTGGTATGTGGTCTGTTAATTATTTTGCCGACGCTAAATAAAAAACTATTTGAAATGAAAAATGCTGTACAGTCACATGCTACTACGTCAGGCATGATTCAAAATTTAATAAAGTAGTAATAACCACTTGTGTGAAGTATAACAGCAATTTTAAATTTAGGTATGATATTTTTGTAATTTATTCATAAAGTTAAATGCTAAATGTGCACAGGGATCGTTTATTTTCAAGTAGTGACTTCTGCTGTCGCTTCCGTTCTGGAGGATACTTATATCCGAGTTTGCGTATAATTGTGATCTCGTATCTGGTCTGCTATTGTTCAGAGGGAGGAAACGGAGCTGATATTTTGTTGCATAATTTATAATTATAAAAAAATAATTCCAGCTAAAACACTCATAAGGGCAGCTCCATTCGTATGCAGAAATGTTGTACAGTCGAGAGGCATCACCAGAACTACAAATGTTGTATCTGTGCCTCCATCAGTGCAAATTTCATTCGCAGTATGTAACCTTCAAATGTGTTCATTAATAGTTTTCAATTCAGGACGTATAATTTTCTTGTCATATTCAGTGGATAGTTTCCTAAATATTTTACAGTATGCAGCGTGCGCTTGCATACCATGTAAGGTTATGGAAACAATGTAAACCGAAAAGTGAATACACATTCCGAACATATTTGTTTCGAGTAGTGTTGGTACAGTTTTCTGTGAGACCTGAATTTTGTCTAATATTCTATTGGCTGAGTAATCGCAGTTTTTTTCAAAACATTTCAATGTTCAATATTTGGGATTTGTAAATTGAGAAAGAATTGTAGAATTGGATAAGAATTCAGAATTTGCAGTCAGAAGTACTTCCTAACCCACAGCATAACAGTGGGTTGTAATATTGGGTTAGTTTCTGATCCACATCCGGTAGGCTAATTGTTATAGTATTATATCAAATCTTCTTAATTGATAATTGTACATATAATTAAACCATGTGTGACTAAGAATGTATCAGATTTGCATGTAAATTTATAACATAGGGCATAAGCAAACATGTAAATAGGTAGTGTAAACAGCAGTGTTTTTCGTTTCCATGAAAAACAAATGCAGAACAAATCTGTTATGTATGATAGAACCTGCATATTGCAGCAATAAACAAAACTGTTTTCAGTTGGCTTTGCATTGTCAAACTTTGCCAGAAAAAGGTATCTCCAGACTTGTTATTATGATGCTTATTCTTTCAGGCTGTTTTCATAGCGTTTCAAATTCATAACGGTCATATTCTGTGACATCACTATTCCAAAGTGGGCTTCACAGGCTATGAGACTGAATTAATGTAAGGATTGTCTGAAGACCATAGGTAGAGATGCAAATTGTCAAATTTTTCATTGACATTTCAATGGGCATTTCGGTTTCTAACCCTGCTGTGGTGGGTCACCAAGCAGCAGTTGAAAACTGCTGAAGTAATTTTAGTGCTATGTTGGAATTACAGAGTACTGGTCCCAGGTATCAATCTTGCCCCAGATATCATGATGGAAAAGGTGACTGTAAATAGAGTGGGGAGGCCAGTGTACATCTAATTGAAACTTCAAGTAAAATTATTTCCCATAATGAAATTACAGCTGGAACAGGCCAGGATTTGAGATTCCCATAGCAATGACTATAAAGTTTACAGACCCATGGGCTGACACTCTGTGGTATGATAGAGTTTTACCATTGTTTTGGAGGAATGTACTGCCTCATTTTCCACTGTGAAGATGGAAGTAGTGATCTACATTCCTTAGAAACACTGGTTAATGACCTACCAGAGGACACTAACCTTACATCAAGTGAATTTTGGAAATTAGCTTAATTAATCTTCCTTAAGTAGTTGATAGTTACTCAGCTAGTCAGGAAATTCCATGCTGTTTTATGAAACCAGTTCAGTACAGTGTTCAGCGATTCCTATGTCAAGTACTTGAATCCATCCCAGAGCCTCATGTGATATTTCTTACTAGGTCCAGTTTAATATTATCGTATCTCTGCATAGCTCTCCCTGGTGGTCTGTTTGCTTGAAATGTATCTTTTTTAAAAATACACTTATGTAAATTTGCTGATTTTTTTTGTTTCATCTCTTTCTGCAGGAAAAATTAGCCCATGGACTCATAATTGCAGGTGGAATCTGCTTTATTCCTATATGGGTTCTGACACACCTGCGTGACTACCAAGCCCCCAAGCAATAATAGACAATAGATGTAGCAATTGGTTTTTGTGATGATACACATGCTTGTAGGGTGATTCAAAAGTAATGAACACATACTGTAATTATATTGTTAATATCTGTATTGGTATTTATTTTTTAATTTGGAATCGTGTGAATGGAAAAAATAGCTATGTACATTTAACTGTATTAATAAAGCATTAACAATATTCACTGTCAAACTGGGATATTTATCTACATGTATGCAAGATCTGAGGTCATTCCCAGAGGTTGCTATGAGGATTACTACATTCAAGGATGTGGTGCCATGTAGTCCAGTGGATCATTGGTGAAGTTTTGGAGGAATGTACTGCCTCCATCATCATGGTCAAATAGTACCTTTAAAATAGAAGCATTATTTTTTTCCAAATCTCAATACTGGTGTACCAGACTACGGTCACATCACAGAAAGTAGTAATCCTTATATAATTTTCCTCCTCCTCCAGTGCTTTACTTCTAGAATAACAGAAGACATGCAAGGAATTTTTCATGTAACTCCATGGAAGGAGTTTCCTTGGGAAGCAAATAGTCACTCAGCTATTCAAGAAGCTCCCACATTTTATGGAAGTCAGTGACTTCTTACTGTATTCCCTCTTTAAGGTCCATTTTAATACTGTCCTACCATGGAGAGGGTTTTGATGCTGTGTCTGGTAGATATTGTTTTCTAGGGACATACCTCCATCTTATGATTTATCCTTAAATGAGGCCACAGTTCCTTGCTAATCCTTCTCCAACTCTATTCAATAATAATCCTATTGTTCACCGCTCTGTATATTAACCGACAGTGTCATTAAATAAACAACATATTAAGATTGTGATCTTCTGGTTCATGGTACCAATAACTGTGGGAGGATACTTATGTTTCAGAGAAACATGATGCCTCCATCTTCAGGGATCCTGGAATAGGCTTGGTTATATAGGCAGGCTGCAAGAAAATAACACGTGTTGTGTTTGTATACTGTACAAGTCAAAAGTGACAAGTTGGTACTACTGGCATGTAAGATGATAATCTTAAGCTGTTTTCTCTGACTAAAATCATATACATACAACCCAAAAGAGCATGTGCAACAGTGGAGCTTGTGGTTGCTTGGGAAAATGTATCAGTATTTGATAAAATTAATACATATTGCAAAGATAACCTTAAAAGATCTGTGTTGATTCATTTTTATGAAAACTAAATTCCTGACCTTTATTAATCTCAACTTACCATGGTCAGGGCAGAAAAACATGGAACTCTTAGGTTTTACAGTCTTATCATTAGAGAAGAGGTTCCTAAACTACCGTATTTACGCATGTATAGGCCGCAGCACAATTTTCAGACAGAAATTATAGAAAAAATAATTTTCTTGGAATATTATTTCAGGAGTAGAACACTCTGTATTACTAATTATGAATATAATTTTTTTTAAATGAAGTGTGATTTCGAATATAAGCCGCACCCCAGTTTTCCTCTTGAATTTTTGGCAAAAAATGTGCGGCCTATACATGCGTAAATACGGTATATGGTACCCTGAAACTTAATATAATTGGCAGTAACTTTATAAATACTGTGGTCCCCCGATGATGGCTACAGAACAGCTGAGAGATATATCCAAGTAAAGTATCTGGTTTCTTTTAATCAGGATTAAAATATTGTTAAAAAAGAAAGTAAAGCTATCTTTGTAACAGGCCAGTGAGGTCCATAGGGTTGTGAGACACTGAGGCTCCCACATTGTCTCGACAATCAGCTCAGAGTTGGCGGTGAGATTGTCAGCCTTACGCACTGGCTGGCTGCCCTTTAGCCCCAAGAAGATTCCTGGTGCTCATTTCTCTTACAGGCTTGGTCAACCCCAGGGCCATAGTGCAGCTAGGAGGATTATGGCAATTAAAAATCCAGTGACATCAGAAGTGAGACCCACGACATTCCAACTTTAGGAACTGGATGAAATTAGGCCAGAATCCAAACTATAAGGCAGAAAATATATGCTTCTGTCATATGCCTTTAGGCAGAAGAGGACTATGACATGTTACGTATTTTATCATCTTCACAAATTATAAATTCACATGAAAGATCTTACTTAAATGGCAAATCTTACATACAAATACATCTCGGATATATTTTCATACAATATTCACCATTACACACCTTTAAATATTCAGATCATGATGTTCTGGGATTTTGATGCCATGTAGTTTGGTACACAGGTACAAACGTTTCAGAAGAACCTGTTGCCTCCATCTTCAGGATAGAAGGCTGCAAGCAGGTTCCTCAAAACTGCTGATACCTCTGTAACGAATAACATGGCGTTACATCCCATAAGGTTATAATCTTAATACTCACTGCCAATGAACTTGTCAGCTGAGAGTCAAGATCATCTTAAATTATAAAGCCATTTAAAAATATAATATTTGTGGTTTCACCGCTTTCAGTATCATATATTAAAGTAGTAAAATGGTAAAACTAACCCTGTAAGAGGCTGTGGAGACCCATAGGGTTGTGAGGCATCAAGGCTGCCACATTTTCTAGACAGTTGGCTCACAGATGGCACTGAGGTTGTCAGCCTTACGCGTCGGGCGCCCTTTACACCCCAGGAAGATTACTGGTACCCATTTCTGTTAGAGGCTGAGTCAACACCAGGGCTATAGTGCAGTTGGAAGGATTGGAACAACTGAAAAATTCAATGTCACTAGAAATGAAACCCGCAACTTTCCAGCTTGTAGGATAGTGCAATCAGCTACACTACCATATTCCCTCCATTAAGATAGTGGCTGAGCCTAATAAAGTGTGATCATGAAGACATTTTTGTGAACATTGATACAAAAAATACAATTTTACATTGTGCAATTACTAGATATGAGGTGCACTAAAATCTCAGGCAGACATTACACAGTCCCATCAACCTGATGTTGGAGGCACAGCAAGTCTTCAAAAGACTGACTTTTAGCATAACCATTACACACTTGATTGCTTGAGATTTCAGCACATCTAACATGAAAGCTTCAATTCTTACACATGAAAATTTTCATATGTGTCAGCTGTAACAGTCCATGTTAGATGGGTCCCTGTCACCACAGCATGGTGCGTCCTCAGGTTGCGGAGGGAAACGCCCTCCAGTTTTGGAGGGAAGCTGCGAATATATTGAATAAGCAGTCGCTGACAGCCGACAAGGGGTGGCCCTCCAGCTTGGGGGTTGGGCGTGGGGCTAACAACTCCTCACCGTAAAAAATCAGTATGTTACGAAAATGAACACAAAGCCTCGGACCTGGACTCATTCTTTGGATAAACGACCTAAGCTAATGAAAATGGATATGAGATTTGGAACTTGGAATGTACAAGGTTTGTATAGGCAGGTTCGCTCAGGGCAGTGGCAAAAGAAATCTTAAAATATAAGTTAGATTTAGCGGGAGTACAGGAGGTCAGATGGGATGGAGATGGCATCGCACCAGCAGGCAAATATACATTTTTCTATGAAAAGGGGAATGAAAATCATGAATTAGGTACAGGTTTTTTCATACATAACAGAATCATATCAGTAGTTAAGAGGGTAGAGTTCGTTAGTGATAGGATATCATATACAATACTAAAAGGTCGCTGGTGTGATATCATTGTTATGAATGTTCATGCCCCAACAGAAGATAAAATTGATGACATAAAGGATAGATTCTATGAAGAACTAGAACATGTATTTGATAAATTCCCGAAGTACCCTATGAAAATTTTGTTAGGAGATTTCAATGCCAAAGTAGGGAGGGAAGACATTTTCAAACCAACAATTGGGAATGAGAGTTTGCATGAAATTAGTAATGATAATGGAGTTAGAGTTGTAAACTTTGCCACATCAAAAAATCTTACTGTCAAAAGTACAATGTTCCCACATCGTAACATCCATAAATTTACTTGGACATCTCCTGATGGGAAGATACACAATCAAATAGACCATATTTTGATATATAGGAGATGGCACTCAAGTATACTTGATGTCCGATCATTCAGGGCAGCAGATTGTGATACTGACCACTACTTGGTGGTGGCAAAGGTTAGGGAAAGACTGGCAGTGAACAAGAAAACAACACACAGAGTTCATATGGAGAGGTTCAATCTCAAGAAATTAAATGAGGTACAGGGTAAAGAGCAGTATTGTGTTGAAATCTCACACAGGTTTGCGGCTTTGGAAAACTTGGACACTGAGGTGGACGTTAATAAAACTTGGGAAACTATTAGAGAGAATATAAAAATGTCTGCCAAAGAGAGTCTAGGTTATTATGAACTGAAAAAGCATAAGCCATGGTTTGATGAAGGATGCTCAAAATTATTAGATCAAAGAAAGCTGGCCAAATTGCAATGGTTACAGGATCCAAGCAAGTTAAATAGGGATAATATGAACATCATAAGATGCAGAACCAGCAGGGATTTCAGGAACAAAAAGAGAGAATATCTGAAAGACAAAATTGATCAGCTTGCAATGAACAGTAAGAACAAGAATATTAGAGACCTGTATAGAGGAATAAATGACTTTAAAAGGGGTTACCAGACTAGCAGTAACTTACTCGTAGTGAAGGATGAGAACGGTGATATGCCTGCAGATTCCCACAACATTTTGCATATGTGGAGGAACTACTACTCTCAGTTATTGAATGTACATAGGGTCAGTAATGTTAGGCAGACAGAAATCGATACAGCTGTGCCGTTGGCTCAGCCTAAGGCCTAAGCCTTTTGAGGTTAAAAGTGCTATTGCAAAATTGAAACGGTATAAATCGTCAGGTAGTGATCAAATTCCGGCAGAACTTATTCAAGCAGGAGGCGAAATATTACATTCTAAGATCCACAATCTAATTACTTCTATTTGGCATAAGGAAAAATTACGTGATCAGTGGAAGGAGTCTATTATTGTACCAGTTCACAAGAAGGGTGATAAGACTGACTGACTAGTAATTATCAGGGGATATCACTGCTATCAACTTCATATAACATTTTGTCCAATATTCTTCTTTCAGGGTTAAGTCCATATATAGATGAAATTACTGGGGATCATCAGTATGGGTTTCGATGTAACAGATCAACTACAGATCAGATCTTTTGCATTCGTTAGATATTGGAGAAAAAATGGGAGTACGATGAGACAGCTATTCATAGACTTCAAGAAAGCCTACAATTCATTTACGAGGGAAGTATAGTACAATATTCTGATAGAGTTTGGGATACCCATGAAAATAGTTAGGTTGATTAAAATGTGTTTAAACGAAACATATAGTAAAGTCCGTGTAGGTAAACATTTGTCTGATAAATTTCCTGTCCAGAATGGTCTAAAACAACGAGAAGGTTTATCACCACTCCTTTTCAACTTTGCCTTAGAATATGCAATTAGGAAGGTCCAGGGAAGCCAGGTGGGACTGAAACTAAACGGGACACATCAGCTGTTGGTCTATGCCGATGATGTGAATCTACTGGGTGATAATGTTGATACCATAAAGAAAAACACACAAACTTTAATTGACGCAAGTAAA